AAAAGATGGATATCTTTGCTTATCCCTCATACACAAATATGTGCATTTGCTGCTGTTTACATTTGACTTTTTTAACTGGGAAAAAAGGCAGTAATAGTTCTGTTTGAATGTGTACACACATACAGAAAGAATATTGATGAAGATATAAATGTATAAAGCTCTACAATCAATCTTTGGAAGCTTGGAAAATACCAAAGCTGTATGTAAAATGTACTGTACCTTTGAAATAGAGATATTGAGTTAGTGACAGGATAATAATGCTTCCTGGTTATCGAAGCAAGTATTGTCTGTAACAATATCATTTGCTCCTAGAAAAAGATATTTTCTAGCTTGATTCTAGAATTACCTGAGCTACCACAACATGTTCTCACATTTATCACTTTGAGTTGCATAGTCTTTTCTTATTAACATTCTGTTATCTATTTTTGTTCCTTTAAATAGACAAGGAAGAGAAGAAACAACGGCCGTGCCAAGAAGGGTCGAGGACATGTCCAGCCTATACGCTGTACCAACTGTGCTCGTTGTGTCCCCAAGGATAAAGCTATTAAGAAGTTTGTCATCCGAAATATTGTAGAAGCAGCTGCAGTCAGAGATATCTCTGAAGCAAGTGTCTTTGACTACGTGCTACCCAAACTCTATGTGAAGCTTCACTATTGTGTTAGCTGTGCTATCCACAGCAAGGTGGTGAGGAACCGATCCCGTGAGGCCCGGAAGGACCGCACTCCTCCTCCCCGGTTCAGGCCAGCAGGTGCTGCACCGAGACTACACCCTAAGCCTATGTAAGGAGATGTTTTAAAAGATGTCAATTCCAAATATTGAGTCAATAAATACATTCCATTCCCCACCATCCAGCCAGAGCTGAAGAAGCTTCTTGGATGAGAAGCGAATCGTCTTCAAAGAAAAACCAGAAAGTCCAGTTGCATCTTGAAAAAGCACCCTTCGGTCATGATTGATGATACTACAGTATCTAGTAACCTTGTCTTCTGTTGAGCTCTTTTCCAATTGGCTTTCATTTGATAATACAGTAGGATATTCTCCTATGACTTTCAGCTTCTCAACACTAACTCCCTCTGGAAGCTATTAAGCTGGTATTCATCATCATTTTTTGCAAAATCCATAAGCACATGATGCACTGAATACTGTAAAGAAATCCTTCATTTCTATCTCTGTTGAATCTTGTGTCAGTTGGCTTTATTGTGTGTCCACAAGTCCAAGAAATATATGTGGAGGGAGAATTTTCCCTCACTTTCTTCACATTTTTTATCAAGCTTCTGAAATGAAACAAAGGAACTACAACTCTTTGAAGAAAAAAATCTCAGTAGATTTCAATAAAAGGATCATTAATCTTCCTTTGTTGCATTTTCCCTGTTAAATAAATAAAATCGAAAACATTATTATTCACTTGTACCTTGGAAGTTCCTTTAGTAGTTGGGCCCAGTCCATCTAAGTATAACTAATAAGCCACACTTACTTACTTGCTGGCTGAAAAAATGCATAAGTATCACAAAAATGCTGAGCTGGTATTCTCAAGGACATTGGACATAGTTCTTAAAAAATAGCTCTATAAATAGATGGTTGTAAGAATCCAACTATGTTAATTGCAGTATAAATAAGGCAAAGATGAACTGTATTTACACCTGCACTTCACTTTGGATTTACTCCAGGAATTTGAAGAACCTACTGAAGATCCTGTAATCCTACTGTAACCTGGCTTCCTGTTTGTCTCATTTGGATCTTCTGTGGAATCTTATATGGAAATATCAAAACGTATTTGCCAGGTCTTAGTCTAATACCCCACTCCTACATATGAATATTGCATGCCAAGGTTTGTTATTGTTGTTAGTTGTGAAGTCGTGTTCAATCCATCGTGACCCCATGAACAATGTTCCTCCAGGCCTTCCTGTCATCTACCATCCTCTAGAGTCCATTTAAGCCCACGCATACTGCTTCAGTGACTCCATCCAGCCACCTCATTCTCTGTCGCCCCTTCTTATTTTGCCCTCAATCTTTCCCAGCGTTAAGCTCTTCTCCAGTGAGTCCTTCCTTCTCATTAGGTGGCCAAATTATTTGAGTTTCGTCTTCAAGATCTGGCCTTCTAAAGAGCAGTCAGGTTTGATCTCCTCTAGGACTGACGGGTTTGATCGCCTTGCAGTCCAGGGGACTCGCAGGAGTCTTCTCCAGGACCATAGTTCAAAGACCTCAATTCTTTGGTGCTCAGCCTTTCTTATGGTCCAACTTTCACAGCCACACATTGCAACTGGGCAAACCATAGCATTGACTATATGCAATTTTGTTGTCAGGGTGATGTCTCTGCTTTTTAGTATGCTGTCTACATTTGCCATAGCTTTCCTCTCCAGGAGCAAGCGTCTTTTAATTTCTTTCCAAGGGTAGGCAATTTTAATTTTTTCAGTTAAAGTTTAATTTTTTACTTTTCATCCCAGCCTCTGAAAGCCACAGGAATCATAATGATAGGGTAGGAAAGATTCTGGAGAAGTTCAGTCAAGCTTAGTCCATCTGTTTTCTGTGCGTATATGTGTTTGATTTTAAAAAGTGGCATCATATTTTGTTTTAAAAAGCATTTTTAGCAGGAGCAGCAAAAGTGGAGTGCAGCCTACATGAGACCTACAGGTTGTAGGTGTTTCTTTAGCTAGACAACTTGGACTTTATGTTCTTCATGTTTCAGCAGCAGATCAAATTGCTCCTGCTTCTTTTAAAAGGCACTGTAAATATATTTCTAAGCACATTTACCAGAGATTTAAGTCCAGTTGACACAGCAGAACTTATTTCTGAATAATAATGCATGAGATTGATTATGTAGCAGTCACTCTATAGCCGTGCAAGGCATTCCTATGAGTTGTAACTGTCCCCCACTTAGAAGACAAGCTTGAGCTAGGCCTTTAAAGGCTAAGAATTTCACTAGCTGTGGTTTAACATTTGGGTGCTAGGTTTGGATTGGGGTGCATGTTTTATACTAGGTGTTTTCTTGCAACTACCCATCTGAACAAATGACATGAACAGTCAAGGGCATGTTTTAATATTCAACCTGAATTTATTAGTTTCTTGTTACCCATAATCTTCCTTGCTCCAAGCAATGCTCATTACCTAAACATTCAAAGGACAATATTTTTTTCTCTCTCAGATAACCTGGGATTATAACTCCCATATTTGCAGAGCCAACTCTATGTAAGGATACCTGCAATTCCACCAGATGGGAAAGGGTGAGTGTGGTTCAGGCGCCCTCCTTTAAATGTTGTCATCTGGTTGGAGCTAGGTAGTAGGCTTTCTCCATAGCACTAGACTTTCATGATTTTCCATGTTGCTTTTACAGCACTCTCTGAGCAGAGTCAGCAGTTTGCCCCCAACAGACTGGGTCCTCATTATACCAGCCTTGGAAGGCTGAGTCAACCTTGAGCCCATTGGGATTAAATTCCAGAGTGTGGGCAAAGTTAACTGTCCTATGGAACACTTGGCTCCCAAGATCCAGCAACCCACTTCCTAGTCTTCAGAAAGGGGTTGAGAAATTGGGTCTTCTCAGGGTATTGGGCTAGGGTGAGGCAACAGCAAAGTAAAAACAGTAAGAGTAAGAGTAAAAGTATGGGGTGAGTTGGTCTGACATTGCTAGTTGTTTTCTTATTTGCTTTTATAGTTCTGTTTCATACTTTACTGCTATTTTTGTGAGCCTTTCAGAGTTACAGGGAGTCCTCGACTTATGACCCAGAATTGAGTCCCAAATTTCATGGTTCCAGTATGGGCAATTACAGGCCAGGTGGAAAATAGATCAAAAANATACATACATACATACATACATACATACATACATACATACATACATACATACATACATACTTTCAGGGCAAAAAAAACCCCATCCATCCCGGCTGAGAGCCCCTTCAGTCCATTCCTCTCTTGGAAAATATGTTTCTACATGTTGGCAGCCAAATGCCAAGACGTAAAGGCACAGTTTTCCACCTTCAAAGGAGGTGGATGTAAAAAAGCCACATAGTCAAGCTTTTTAAAAGTTCACCACATCCAAGGAATCAATCCCTTCATAACGTATCATTTCCTGTCCTGGAAATTCTTGACCACCTGCATGAAGTAACGAAGTTGCTGCATCATCTCTTCCCCCTATAAGTCTTTGGCTGCCTCCCCCAAATTAATGTAAAAGAAATTAGGGAAGGCATATGGAGCATTGCGTTTGGAATTCTAATAGTAACAATTCTGTTCCACACATGCGACCAGGAAGGAAAAGTGGGGAGACTCAAACGGAAGAACCATAGATGGATGCAGTACTGAGTTTCTTCATGCAATTTCTTTCTAGCATTTCTTTGGGTTGGAAAAATAAATAAAGAGAGCAATCATAGAGCATGCCCATTGCATCCTGCTTCACTGCTGATAAATCCAGAAATAAACATGAGACATTCTCCACTTCCTTACTTATATCCAGTCCGGAAGATGGCATTGGCAGCCAGCCTTCTCCTTAGAGACACTCTCTGTTTATGAAATCAGGTAAGTTTCTCTCTTTTGGGCAGAATGTCAATCCCACTGTTGTGGTTACCATCTTGACTTTTATTTTTGAACCATCCTGTGGAAGTCCCTGATAACAGGAAATCCTTCAAACCAGGATTGGCTGCAAAACTGCAAAAAAATATAAATGGATTACCAAAATGCCCAAAGGGAGGAGAATCTAGCAGTACATTTCATGCCTTTCTGGCTGGAAATTGTTTCATCAGTTTTTCTCTCTTTTTTTGTAGAATTACATTTGCTTACATTCAATAACTGGACTATTAATGCAGTCCAATTCCAGTGACTTAAAAATACTCTGAAGAGGAATAATATAATTTGCAAGTCATTAGTCTACATTTGCAATGATCTGTTACGTTTTTGGTGTCCAAGCGCATCATTTTTCTGCGTGAAAATGAAATTAACACAATTATTTATAGAATGGGTCTTATTTCAAACTCAATTTCTTAAAATGTCAGCTAAGCAGCAGTTCACTGGTTTTTGCCACAAACCAAGATCTACTGGTTTTGGGGGGGGGTGTCGGGATGATCCTTCAAAGCCTGAATTAGATAGAATAGTGGAAATAAATCTATTTTCTATCTTGGGGCATCTTCACTCATAACATTTTCTACTTTGTAAAACAGTCATTATTGAAAACAGGAAGGAAGATTATGCAAAGGGATATGAATAATAAGCAATGAATGTACCATCTTTCCCTGAAAATAAGACAGGGTCTTATTTTCTTTTGACCCCCGAAATAAACACTTGGCCTTATTTTTGGGGAGGTCTTATTATTTTTGAGGTGTAGGAGGCGGTGAGCATGGTCTCATGGCTGCTGCTATGTTGTAATATTTTTGAGAGGTCTTATTTTCAGGGGAGGGATCATTTTAGTGCATGCGATCAAAAGCCCAATTGGGCTTATTATCCGAGGAGGTCTTATTTTCAGAAAAACAGGGTAGTAAGATTACTAAATCATTGTATTATCAACTCTTTTTGTGGTATTTTTAAACTGGCATCAGGTTGTGGAACTTGCAGATCCACATTATTCTAGCAAGCTTGGACAGAATGAATGAAGATATCTCCATGAAAGTGCAGCCAAAAACTGTGGCAAGGACCACAGAACCAGTGAATACACTGGCTTTTCAGAACTTTTCCAGACAAGAAGAGAAGGGGAATGGTCCATATACATGACACCAAAGTACAGTGGTTTTTCTGTGGGTTTGAGTGCCAGGAGATTATGCAATCAATCACATTGCTTGCAACCATGGCAGAGTTTTTTTTAAAGACACTAAATCTTCTAAAGCTTCACTTTCTGATCACTTTTGGAAATTGCC